CGGCGTCCCCGTCCCCCGCCGGCGTCCCCTGCCCGTCGCCTGCCGGGGGGGACAGCAGCGTCCCCGGGGCGGGAGGACCCTTGGGTGCCCCGGGGGGGGCTTTGAGCTTGCGCGCCCCGGGGGGGCTGTCCTCGGCGAGGTGCCGGCTAGAGCAGTAGAGGCGTTTGTGCACGTAGTAGTTGTTGATGTTGTTGAAGGTGATCTCGCACTCGAAGCACGTGGCACCCTTGGGCACCGGCGCGCCGGTGTAGACGGCGGGCGGCACCGCGCCGCCGTGGCCCTGCTTCAGCCGGCTGTGCACCAGCTCCGACATCTTCGCCAGGATCTCCGACGCCTGCGGCACCACCGCGGCTTCGTGGCTGAACACGTACTGGGGTAGGAAGACGGTGCCGCCGGCCGTGCCCGTCCCCGGCTCGCTGGGCACCGGGCTGGAGCCCGGCGTGGGGCTGGCGAGCTCCGACTTGACCTTCGCCGAGGGTAGGCTGCGGGGGGATGAGGTCCGGGAGCAGGCATCGGGGCTGCCGCCCCCCTCCCCGGGGCCGCCGCTTTTTGGTGCCTCCACCTCGCTCACCGGGCTGCCGGCGGGCTCCTCCTTGACGCGGACAGCCTCGCCGGAGGAGGAGGAGGAAGAAGAGGAGGAAGAGGAGGAGGAAGAGGATGACGATGGCCCTTCGCCGTTCTGCGGCGGGGCTGGTGGCGACAGCTTGCCAGCCCTGGCGTCGGGGGGTGAGGCGGGCTGTGCCGGGGGGGGAACGGCGTCGGAACCGGGCGGTGGGGCGGGCAGGGGACCGTGCAGCACCACGTGCTGCGGCAGTGCCGGCAACGCCTCGGGCAGGAACGCCGGCAGGCTGCACTTCCGAAGGGGCACGTTGTTCGTCTGGCTCAGCCCTGCCGAGGGGAAGAGAGGCACCGGCGTTACCCCGACATCCCTGGCACAGGGATGCTCGCCCCGTTCCCCCGCCTCCCTCCTCGCAGCCGGAGCCATTTGGGGCCGTAGCCCTCAGCGGCGACGCCAGGCTCCGCGGCGCGCGTCCCACCGCGGCCCCACGGTACCCACCGGGGGCGAGGGGTTTGGCGGCGGGTAGGGCTGGTCCCGGCGAGAAGACCTCTCCCTTGGAGCCTGGCTGGCATATCATGTGGTTGGTGACCAAGTGGCTGTAGAGGATGTCCCTCGTGGTGGAGATGAAGCCGCAGCTGTGGCAGACGCCTGCGGGGAAGGCGGCGTGGGGCTGAGCGGGCAGGACGGTAGCCGGCGGGGCAGGGGGGGAGACCCGCGGGGAGGGAGGGGGGTCCCCGTCCTCAGGCTGCGCTGGAGGGGAATGGGACAGGGCTGTCCCCGCGGGGACGCCGGGCAGGGCTGACTCACCGTTCAGGGTGTCCGTGTGTACCTTCAGGTGACGCTCGCAGTTGGCTTTCGTGGTGAAGGCGGACAGGCAGATCAGGCAGACGAATGGCCGCTCTCCTGCAGGACAGACGGACGCCTCAGTGCTAAGGGAAGGGGGATGGGGACCGCGGGGACATCCCACGGGGCCGTGCTGGCCAGGAGGGTACCGGCTGCGGGAAGCAGGATGCCCCCTCCCATCTTTACAGGGCTGAGATGGGGAAAGATCTACAAGCGAGCGGCCCCAAACCAGCAACCCAGCTGGGGGAGAACCTCATCTAACTGGTCACCGTGCTGCAGCCCTGCAGCCTCATTGCCCCTCCACCCAGCCGCCTGGGGTCCTCGCACGTGTCCCCAGGCTGCAGCAGTGTGCCGTGCCGTGCCGTACCGCTGTGGCTCCGCATGTGGATCTCCAAGGAGCTGGCGCTGGGGCAGCTCTTCTTGCACTGGGGGAAGGGGCAGACGCGCTCGTTGGGGTACGTCTCCTTGGGCTTCTCCTCCAGGGCGGGCGAGCCGGCGCTCTGCCGGCTGGCGCAGTAGTACATCAGGTGGGCTTGCAGGTTGCGCTCGCTCCGGTACCAGATCCCGCAGTCCTTGCACGGAAAGACGTCCTCTGCGGAGAGGAAGGGACACACATCGCCTGCGTGACGGGCTGGGGACCCCCGGCACGGTCCCGGCCCCGCGGGTTGTACCGCGTGTGTGTGTGTCCCCCCCCTCCCCACGCTGTCCGTCCCCGAGGACTCACTGTTCACCACGGCGGTGGCCAGGATGGCGGCCATGCCGGCTTGCTGCGGCAGCAGCTGAATATCCGAGTGCAGCGCGGCTGGGTACGGCGACTCGCCGGGCTCCGCTTTCACCCCGTGGTGGTTGGGGATGGCCGGCGGCTCTGCCACCACGAAGGCACACACGGCCTCGTCCTCCCGCAGGGCACGCGTCGTCCGGCACCACAGGGCTTCATCTGGAGGTGGCGGGGAGGGGGGGACACACAGTGGTCAGCACCGTGACCACCCCCCCCGGACCCCCATCGTGCTGCTGCCAGCTT